CATCCCGCTTTATCGGGGACTCGGCAAGAAGGAAAATATGCGCGTCACCGGTTTATCGGGGACTCGGTCTCAAGGGGTTAAATCACTGATTTTTATTTAAAAAATCAAGTTGATTTAAATAAAAAAAATCAACTGATTTAAATCAACCTGATTTAAATCAACCCAACCCTGGAGAGAGAGAGTGTGTGTGTGTGTGTGCATACAAATGAAGTATAGAGTCCGGGAACGCTGCCCCATCTGCAATTGAAGTAGGCTACCTGAATATTCAGACATTAACAAATGGCTAGCTCTAGAAATTGACTTCGATGCAAAAAGTGCTTCTTCCCAGTCCTCACAGAATGGCAGAATGAAATCAATGAAAGATGACGTCTAAATCTCTCAAATAACCAAAAAGTCTCGATAAACGGAAACCATTAGGAGAAATAGAGGTCGTGTTTATTTTCCAGAGCGTTCGGAGGAATAGTCACTTCATTTTTTTTTTTTAAGCTTTGGATGTTTGTTTTATATTCTGTTCTCATCTAATCTAGATTTAGGTAAAAGGCAGCACTAGTTTCCATCCACTAGAAGGCCTACTCGAGACTCGAGATTTTCAGAAATGGGATCAATTCTAATTTCATTAGATCTAGATCTAGATTCTAGTAGAACGCTAAGACTTTAAATAAACTAGATCAAGTTCAGCAGTCCATGGCCTTGTAATAGCAGTACTTAAGCAGCTTTCCAATTTTGGAAAATAATGTGGAGGAATTGGAATATAAAACACAGGGCATTAAATTAGGCAAGTTTCTAATTTCAGTAAATAATTTGACGAGCTAGAACCTAGATAAAATTAGAGATAGAAAAAATGTCCAGAAATTACTGCTGCATGGATGAAGAATGTCATCTTCTCATTACTTGGCATGAGCTTGTGTATGATGAATGATAAGTTGTTTTACTGTTGATGTTGATGCACACATAATTCATCATTCATCTTGATTTTTACATTCGTGTTCGGCTTGGGCTTTGGGAAGAACAATTTAATAGAATTGCAGAGAAAAGATGAATTTTTGTAAATTTAGTTAGTTAGTTTTCTTTTTTCTAGCTTTTATTTTTCTCCTCCTGTGCCTAAAGTTACAAGATATATAGCTCTATATATATAGAGGCCTGCTGTAGAACTCGCCTTAGCATTGATCACCTTGTCTGCCATACTGTATGACATTTTTGTGTTTTTCCTATTTTTAACCTGTCCATACGGTTCATGGCCACGGTCATAATTTTTGGGTACAAAAATGTCGGCCCCAAAACTTGCTACAAAAATTTTCCAACAACATGTCCTCAGACGGAGCAATTCATGTTAATTCAATCATGCAAAGAAGCTCTATTTCTTATGATGTGAGGCATCATGGTGAAATCAGGCACTCGTCAAAATTATATATATATATATATATAATGAAGTCGAAGATATCTGCATTTTCCGAGGGTTTGACAATTGGTATCAAATTTTTCTTTTATGACTCAAGACATCTTGCATGCCCATTTAAAAACACATTTTTATAATGTAAATTTTACTGAGAAATATTGATTAAGTTTTTAGTTTCCTAGGGCTCTCAAGCTATTGAAATCGCCAAACTTTGAAGGCCATTTTCTTGCCTACTTTACCTCTGAAACCAGACCTATGACCCCACCTCGTTTAATCACAAATGTTTCAACTTCTGTTCTTGATAGATGGGTATTTTTTTCTTTGAAAGATAGAAATGAACCGTCTTTAAGCCAACAATAACAACCAATAACCCCACGTGCCCAAAAATTGACAAGCGCCTGATTCCACCGCGCTGTGACACATGGAAAGGAAAATCAGATAAAATTAAGATTTCAGTTTTTTAACCATGATCAGTAAATTTGTCAGGTCCAATAAGTGACAATAACCCGGATCATGTCCATGGCAACAACTTGTCTACAGTCGCTGACTGTGATCTTCAGTGACCATTATGGACAGGAGAGACTACTGTATTTTTAATCTTAAAGCTGGCTCAGTATTCTTGAATCCAAGCTAAATGCACATGTTTGCTCTTGCCTTTGGACTTTTGTTATGAGGTTGGCAAAGGTACTTTATAATCTCGTTTGAACTATTCTCTATGGAAAAGTTATGTTTATTATCATATTATATATCAAAATTGATAGTAGAAATCTAGAACTCTCTTCGGGATGAATATATTGACCTGCTGAAGTACTAAACATATTAATTACACTATATAAATTATTAGCTTCTTTCTTGGAAGTTGCAAAGAGTGTATTGGAAACCTCTAGCTTCTTCTTGTCTCAGTGATGCAACAAAATTATTTTGCTTTAAAAAGTGATTTGGAGTTACTCAGGCAGCATTCATAGTTTTACGTGTCTAAAAAGTTTAATTTCAATTGGTTTTAATTACTTTTTGTTTTGCCTTTATTTCAGGACTTTGAAGATGCACTGGAGAGTGTTCCACAGAGGTATTAGAACTCATAGGCTATTTAAGTGACTGTATTCTTAACCTTTTCACTGTAATATTGACATCACCGATATGTCATGGAATTGAAAAAATGTCTGTAATATATATTATTTTGTCTTGTCAGATGATGTAAAACATATATTATTGTATTGAAAGGGTTCAAAGAATTATAAGTTCGAGTACATTTTAAAGTGAAAATAGGGGTAACAAATTTATTTTACTTTTCAGCTTGAAGTTGACAATTTTATTGGAAAATGTTGAAAATGTGTTCCTCTGATTTGGAAAGGATGACTTGATTTCTGTTTTATTTTATAGCCTGCTGAAGTGCAAAAATCAACAGGGCTATGAGAATGGGACAAACTCTCTGTGACGTCAGCAGTTACAAAGTTTATAATACCTTTAAAGGGACATTTTTCTTTCTATTTGTATGCTTTTAGCATAATTCATCTCGCTTGCTATTTAAGAAACAGTGCGGGTGGCTGACGTGTGCTCTGGTGTTGTTTGCTCCTTCTTTCCTGTCAAACATCCATTTTTCTGATCTCTCCTCTTTTTTTGTGTTTGTTACTCTCTTGTAACTTTCTAATCATTGGCACTTATAATTTATATATGACTTTATTGTGTTGTAAGTGCCATAAAAACTCTTACAAAAACTAAACTTAAAAACAGTAGGCCTACCCATTAAAAATATATTATTCAAGTTTGAATTGAATCATATCTGATGATTTACTGTACTGATGTTTAGGTAATGCACTCTTTAGAGTTAGGAAAAGTTCGTATAGTGATGACATGATCATGATTAGGAAGCCTATCAGGTCCCCATACAGTAGTTAATTATCATGAAAAGGGAGACTCAGGACCTGAAAGCTAGGTGCAATATATGACCTCCACACATCTGTTCACTTTGTGGTCATTATGAAAAGCTAGGAGGTGTCAGGCCAAAATAAGTGTACATCGTTCATCTTCTTATTTTAAACTGTCCTTCATATTTTTTTTAATGGTTGGAAGGCCAATAAACTGTAGCTTGTTGATTGAGAATAACAATGTTTATCTTTCTTGAATGACATCATTGCGGATAGCTTGATATTGATTATTTCAACTCATAATACTTTCCAAGTAGCCCATATTAGAATTGTTAGCATACTCTTATGATTTTTAGTTTATCCTGTGCCAGTGCTATTAGAGAAGTCAAAGTTAAATCAACTTTTTGGTTTGTATTTGCTTGTTTCTGTTGTCTATTTGCCATATTTTTGCAGATTGTAATATTACACTTGTTAATACTACTTTACTGTAACCGCTGCCACCTCCCTTCCCCCTTTTTTTTTGTTCTCTAGTCCTCCCTTGGATCCCAGCGTAGATCGTCTAAGCTTGGACAGAGCCATCCAAGAAGGAGATGCTGCCCTCAGAATGTTTTTCGACAACAGATTCACAGAGGCCAGGGATCGAATGCAGCCCTGGTGAGAGCAACATAAAGTTATTTGTACACTAACCCCAGTCCCCTGGAGTTGGGTTAATGTTCCCTGATGGCCAGGTCCCATATTCCTGCAGCTCAAGTGTGTGTGCCAAGTCTGCTTCAGTTTGCATGCGTTTGTGGCCTACTTCCAGAACTGTCTGCGTTGGTTCAAAACCGAGGCGTACGTCTCATTTCAAAAATGCCAAGCTGGTAGCTGTAGATGTTCGTCCAATGAAATTTTAACAAACTGATCCACTAAGATATGAGGAACTCGAAAGGATAACTATAAAACAAGACTTCCATTTTTCTATACAAAATCTTTCAAATGAGCTTGATTTTACATAATAAAATGATATTGTTTGTTAAAAATAATTTTTGGACAGGAACAGCAACAGGCTCACAAAAACAGAAAAAATATTGTACTGGCTAATTAGGCCTAAAAAACAGGGCTGCAAACCATTCCGATTTTCTGGTAATCAGTACGATTTTTTAGCCTCACTACGAACTTCCGATCGTAAGGTGATTTATTATGATGTTTACAGTCAGCAGATTTTTGGCCATAAAAAATGTGTTTGGCTTTAAAAAAATTTTACAATTCTTAGTGCAGACCTGTAAATCGTCTGCCAATAGTCAGAAAACTGCCGATCTCTAAATCAACCCCCCGCCCCCCTAAAAAACAAATTACTGTCACCATAGCCTGAAATGCAACCCTAAATCCATTATATCAGTCATCTACCATTTTGTGATTTAAAAGGTGAGTTTAAAGCAAAACTTTGGCCTTCACATTTTTAAAATTTTCGATAAGCCCTATTTTTCCGAGTCCCCAAGATTTGTCGTGTTTTGAAAAGCTACAAAATATGAAAAAAATAGCATTGAGTCAAAATTCTTTGTGTTCTGTTAAGCTCAACATCTCCTACTGAAACTGGCCAATTTTCATAAATCTAACATTAATAGGTACGGAGGTACTGGATTTTTAAAAAGGTCTAAAAAACTAGGCAGGCAGCGGCTTGGTGTGAGTTAAAGAAATAGATTGAAACCCCAGTACAATAGGGCTCTTATTTCATGTGAATGTCGAAGCTAGATGATTGTTCCAAACCCAATCTTTCTAGTTTTATAGAATAAATAGAAGTGAGATTCCTTTTTTAATGTTAATTTTGATTTGACCTTTCGCGCTTATTCCCAAAATATTCCCTGCATCTGGGGCACAAAATTGCTTTCAATACAACAGGCTATAGGCATAGGGAGGGCATGACCTATAACCGCTTCATTTTCTGGTTATTTTGCTATTGTAGCAACAGTTTCTTAATAGAATTTTATCTTTGTGAGGTTATTTAATTCTGCACAAGTGAGTATGAGAAACTTTAAAGTCTAACAAAGTGAAAGGATATTCATTGAGATAGCTTTAAATGCTGATTTTCATAACCTCTAATTGAAGGGTGCTTTGATTGTAGCAACAGTTTCTGAATAGAATTTTATCTTTATGAGGTTATTTAATCCTGCACAAGTGTGTGTGTGGGAAACCAAAAGTCTAAAAGAGTGAAAGGATAAACACTGAAATAGATTTAAATGCTGGTTTTCATAACCTCTAATTGAAGGGGGCATTGATGGTTTATAGAGCCTTGTGATGTATTCTATAAAAGTGCTACTTAATACGTAATAGGGGTGTGTCTCTTGAAATAAATCTAGAGCATTGGACTTACAGAAACATTTGTTTAGTGCTCAGAAGTATTTGTCCCTCATCTTGAATGCCATGTGCAGTGGGTGAACGTTGTTTTTCAATAGTGGAGGTGGGGGTCTTGTAGATGCAATGCACGAGGAGCTAGAGAGGTACCCCCCCCCCCACCCACACACACAAAGTGGAATGTCACACAGGAACATCTATGAATAGGTACATCTGTTGTATTTACTTTGATGTATCACCTCTGTCTTCTTCTGTTCGTTCTTATAAGCATTCTGCCAGGTTTTTCTTTTCTGGAATAATGTGTCTAGGTCTGTTGTACCAGTGAGTGAACTCATACTACACGGCGCACCGGCAGTGGAATTTTAGTTGCCGCAGGGGGTTCCGCGCCGGGCGCCTTATCACGTCGGGGTCACGGGGGTCAGCTCCCTGTCGCCGCTCTGTCTGGGCCGATCTAATTTTTGGTACTTTTCAACGTACAATTTAAGGTGTATCCTTGTATTTATGGTAATTCTCATTTAGTGCACCCAAAGCACGCATTTCTGCTCTTGAGACTAAAAAAAGAACGGACGTTGTAACTTGTCTGGTTATTTCGTTAGATGCGCTGGAGTCGGCAATGCTAAATTGTAATTTTTTTGGGGACTAGTGTGAATGAAAAAAAATCAATATAAAAAAAAGGCATCGTCAAAATCTGTCGAACTTTTGGAACATGAACGACATAACATTGGTGCAGATACTCAGAAAAGATGGTATCTGCGCATATAATAGAAGGCTGTAATTTTACAATTTTATCCATCGGGCACACAATTCGCTATGAAGTAATTCCTCCAAATACAACTTTATGTGTCTAATATAATCGTGAATATTCGCATATTTTCTCGAAAGTTTATAAAAGTTACCATGAAGTTTCTCTATGAATAGTACAAATCGATTTTAGTGCTAGAATACATCTTCAACGTAGATCTAATACACGAACAGTATCTGTTACACTCCAGAAATTCCTTACTTTTCTTAAAACGCTAAGTCTAGGTTTTGTAAGTTGACTGAATAATAGGGATGACTTCTCATAATTGGGTAATAAGAATAATTTCTAGCTTTCCAGGGACACTGAATCAGCACGAGAATTTTCCAGGGTTTTTTTCGTTTCTATGACCATTTGCAATGACTGACAGTGTGACTGATTTCTTTACATTCATAATTGTGTCCGCGCATATTTCCTTCACAAAAACTAAGAATGAATCTTTTAGCTGTCATTATTTTTATTCCATACAAGAAGTTCATCTCTACCCATGTATTTACACGGTTTTGTGTTTTTTAAAAATCGCTTATATTATATCTTTTTAGTTGTATGCAGGCTGCCACAGACACAGCATGATTCATGAACAAACGCAGAGTAACGTTCTCTTGTTTAATAGTAAAATAAGAGCTAACGCTGATCGTCTTTAGTTAAAAAATGCAGATGTACATCTTTCTTCTCTTATAACTTGACTATTACTACTTGTGCAGATTTAAGATTTCTCATGGTAAAAGACATGATATTCGTAGTCAGTTTAACACAGATTTTGGAGAGATCTGTTGAGCCTTTTTTAAATTAGCAATCATTTATTCATAAGTTTGTAACTAAAATAGGACAAATTGGGTACTCTACAAACACTTGTCTAGAACAAAAACTAAGGCACAGAAACTAACCATTCTGACGCAGAATAAATCTCAAGACATTGAGCTTTTAGTACATTCGCGTAATGGTTTGCTACGTGGGATGGGGAAGAAGTTATATCACTTTAAACATAGTAAAAAATGCGAACTTCCTGACCGACACCGGCAAAGTCGCTTCAGGGCTCATTAACCCTGTGACCTCGAGCCGGGGAGCTCCGGTGGGCTGCTGAGTCACGCGAATTAAAAGTAACAGAATCGGGCGAAAAGTGACGTTGTGACTAGTTCAAATGCTTTAAAAACATATTTCACAGTGATAAGATAAAAGTAAAAAGAACATTACAGTAGGATCCATTTATATTGAAAACTGGAGTAATTAGAACTCTGGATTAGCAAGCCAGCACTCGATTCTTGTGCTTTATCTTTTTTCCCAATCTCATATGTACACCCACATTCACGAACCTGCATATACCCATCCTCCAATACCATTTTTAAGAAAAGGACTCCGCACACTAATGTGTTTTCTACAATGATCACGTCTCTTTTTATCTTTTTACACTGGCTAAGTAACTTAAAATCTCAAGACTGTTGAGCTCCATTTATTTCTTTTTTCTCTTTCACCACAGGGCAGACAAGAGTATGTACCATGCCTTGGGATATGGAACAATTCTCTATATTCAAGCTGTCATGACCTTTGACATGGTGAGTTGTGATGGTGTTTCAGTCAGGTTGCTCACAACAGTCCCATGGTTGTGTAGGTGTGGTCTGTAGTTAAAAGTCCCATTGGTGATTTTATTGCTATCAAAATCTGTTCCTGAAGAAAAAGAGAGGGCATTTGATAATGTTCTCCGATTGATTCCATTCAGCATTATTTTATTCTAATTAATTTAGTAGTGAAATGTAGACATTATCAGGCACTCTCATCAATAACTGCAATTCAACAATTTTTTAGTCTGTTTTGGGTCCAAATTTTGTTTCAGCTTTAGAATATTTTCTGTCTTGTGCCAATCTTGGGATGAAATGCTCAGTCTTAAAAATGGCTTACATTATGTCTAACGGGTTTTGAAAAATCGTGATAGTTCTTGTAAACAAGTGTCATGTTTAGTGGTATATTTGAGTTTTTGAATACAAAAAAAATTATAGAAACCCTCTTGTGAGTATTGCTTCGTTTTCTTGAGTCGGTTGTTCCTTTTTTTTTCTTTTGTGTGTGTGTGCATGTCTGTCTGTGTGTGTGTGTGTGTGTGTGTGTGTGTGTGTGTGTGTGTGTGTGTGTTTGTTTGTGTGTGTTTATCTGTGTTTGTGTTAATAAAATTTAATATCATTCTAGACGTAATGTTTGTCATTCTGAAGGCCTCCTTCAGGACACCGCTTAAAGAATAGAAAGGAGGAAGGACGGAAAAACAAACAAACGAAGTACTCGAAAATTGAGCCCAGAGCTCCATGTGTCGGTCAAGTTTGTAACCACTTGGGCAACAGCTGTCTGCACTTCAGAGTTAATGTTGCAACATGATACTGATATAACCTGATATTGTTTACAGTTCTGTGTTTCTCAAAGAAGTTCATGTCAATTCATAACAGGCACATGTAATTTTAGAATGTTTTCCATTAGTTAAAGTTAAAAATCTACATATAGTGCTAGTAGTCAACTTCTAATGTTTTAACCAGGGTGTTTTTTTTCAGAGAAAAGGTTTAGGATTAGAGCCAAAGGAGTTTTATAATACAGCATTTGTTTACCGGACGCACTGTTTAATAAATATGCTTTTTGTAATGAAAGAAATTGAGATACCTTCTAATGAGCCATTATCCTTCATAGTTTTAATTTCCTTGAGGGTGATTAGCAGATGCTCTGTTTGCTCTTTCTTTCCTATCAAACACCTGTTGGCCTTATCTCTTTCCATTTCTTTGTATGTTTAATCTCTAGCAACGACTCTATTCTTCGGCACTTATAAGACCTTTTTCTGTCCCCGTCGTTTTATGCAAAAAAGCTTCTGAAATTATGCAAATTGAGCCCAAAAATGTGAAATTATGCGATTCTGTTAATTTATAAAAAGAATGAAGAATGATAAAGGAAAATAATCTGAATTAATGCAAAAAATGATAAAATTTTGCTAAATTATGCGGGATGCATAAAACCACGGGGACAGCTTTTTGTGTTGCAAGTGCTGTAAAACTCATAATAAAACTAAAACTTGAGCTTCTTTTTTTCTTTTTAGGTTGAAATTAATGTTTGTAATTTTTGTTCTTTTTTGTCTGCAGGCTGACATTGAAACTGCCATTGAAGCAATAAAGAAGTCTGTGATAGTCTGTGGGAAAGTTAGAAAAAAGACATCTGTCATCAGTTCTATAACTAAGCTTGGAAGCAAAGTTAATTACAATGAGTTCACAGAAGGTTAGTATGATTAGCTTATTTAGAGTGTCTTTAAAACGGAAGTTGAAATCTAGAAAAAACAACACTTTTAGTGTGATGTCCAGTACGATGGTACTGGTCTGGCTGTGTGCAGTTCTCTTCCGATTCCAGTTCGCCCTAGGTAAAGGACCACAATGTTAATTTCTATCAACGTTTGATTCACAAGAATCTGTCTCTAGATAAATATATTCTTCTTCCTGTTTTGGGGGTCATAGTGGAGAAAATTGAACAGTATAGTTTTAAGGAGATGTGATTGCATTAATGAGAGTGGATTATCTGTGACACGACGGGCAGTTCAAGGATCACAAATTTTTGCTGTTTGGTTGTTCAGCTGCATGTGCCCAGATTTTGTTCAGTAATTTATTATCTGAAATGCAGGATGTTAGTGGAAATAGCCCTTCAGAGCTGGAACTTAAGGTTGACTTCCGTATAGAAAAACTTCTGTTCTCTTAAAACAGTGGAATCTCAAGTCAACTGGGATTATAAGCAGATTGTATAATGCTTTAGATCCCTCTTTTGTATTGACAATTTTTCTTTTGTTGAGGCTAAACTGTTATTCAAGAGAAGTAATATTCTTTGCTCTAAATTCCACAGAGGAAATCCATGCTGAACTTTGTTATGCTGAGTGCCTGTTGATCCGTGCATTTCTGACATTTATACAAGATGAAAATCTGATCAGCTTTGTGAAGGGAGGACTGAAAATAAGAGAGTGCTACAAAATATTCAAGTACGTCACCCTTTTGTTTTTGTGTAACTTAATCATACTTTGTTGCTTTTTGTCCTCTTGCAAGATCAGTCTTTTTTAAATATCTAAATGAAGTAGTATTTGGGGGGCATGCTGACATAATTTTAATGTGTTACTTTTCTGATTTTAGCACTATGGAAATAGATACATCGAATTTTTAGGCAAACTTTGTACAAAGTATAAGTGTGAGATAATAAAAGGCTTGTTCAACTTAAAGCAATTGACATCAAATGAAAAATCTATAAATTTGACCCCCAGTATCAATTTTTTTTAGCAGATATAGAAAAGTAGCTCACTTTGTCGGCACACCTCACATTTTTCATTGCCGGGAAATGGTGTTATCCTGAGTCAAGATTTATAAGATTATAAGGAAATTATATGACGGTGGTCAGCAGAAAAAAGCAGTTGATATGTTATTTGTATCTGCCGCAGAACAGTAGCACCATTTAAGCTCAATTCTGAATTTGATTAAAGAGGGCAAGAAAATCCATGAAAATGAGAGGAAAATGAATAGTCTTTAGTTCTATTGAGAGTCAAGTTTTAGACAAGTGACATAACACAATATATTCTCTGTGTGTGCACAATGTACCTGAGTGTGTGTGTGTTGTGTGTGTTGTGTGTGCGCGTGTGCATGCATGTGTGCGAGTGTGCATGCGTGTGTGCGTGCATATGTGTGTGTGCGTGCGTGCGTGAGTGGGTGGGTGCTTGTCCATGTTCTTGTGTATGTATGTTTATGTGATACATATATGCACTCAGAAAGTGATACTGCTGTTCATTTATTCTTTGATTTTGCTATCATGTTTCTGCTGGATTTAATAATAAATCATAATGTTGAAAAGTCAAATTACATGCATATGTGGTCTATGTTGTGGCTTATAATCTTCTTTTGAGAATAATGCTCTGCTATTGAACATAATATAACACAATTGGGAAATTTGTAATTTCGAGAACAAAGAGTTTTGTTTTCTTTTTTTTTGACTTGCTTTTGTACTATTGTTTTGTATTAGTTGATTAAAATATTTACATCTAATGATGTTATGTTTTCCTTCAAATTATAATAATATTCTTTTGACCATTTCCTTGTATTAAAATATACAGTCACTAAGTTATGCTCTACTTTGTTTCCTGGAAAAGGGATTGTCATAAAATCCTTAGGAAAAGGAACTTTGACTCAGATGAGCACAAAGTGCATTTTGAAAGTGGAGTGTGCATGGGAGTTGGAGCTTTTAATTTGGTAAGTGTTGATTGGTCAAATTTGGTAAAAATGGTTAATGATTATGTAAAGAATGATCGCCCTCTATGGTACAGTTAAGATCATTTCAAAGCAGTTTGTGGAAGGACAAGCAACTTGGAAATTTCAAATACTTTCGATTTATAAAAGGCAATTTTTGAAATCCTCTCTGAGAAAAGGTGTAAAGTGTGTTTTGTTAACATATTGGTTTTTAAAACTGCACTTTGAATTTTGTGCCACTTTCAGCGTAATCTAATTGACTCTTTAAGTTTAGATTGCTGATGTAGATAGCTATTGAGTGTTGAAAATATGATTTTGGTATCAGAGCTCAGGAGTGTTATTCTTTATTTAAGCCAGAGTTTCTCTACCAGTGGCTGACAGGGGAGGAAGTGTTTTCCGCTTGTATGGAAGCTGACTTAAGCATTCAATATTTTTTTTAATTTTAAAATTTTACTTTTAATTTAACTTGGTGGATGCATTTTTGGGGTCTGCTTTTTTATATGCCATCAGTGTTGTCAGTAGCCTTAGCTGTGCCTTTGGAAGTGGGGTCATTATTGAGCTAACTCCCTTTAACTCATTCGCTACGCCGAGCCGTGGGGGGGCGGCGCGGCTAAAGTGCCGTCAGTACGCTAAGCCGCCCCCGGCGGCGCGAGAACCGATCTTCAGTTATAGCTTAGATTCTATTCCAATCCACATATCCATGTTAAAATAAAGGTCATAATATAATGTTGACTTTCAGGTCAAGCATTTCCACTGAAAATCGGAAATTTAGATTCAGTTTTGAAACGCGATTTCGTAGTTTATTCGACTTTGTTTTATCGCGATTACAAAATTATAGCCTGGACACCAGTTTTTGTAATTTTACACAACAAAATCTATCATTATTTTGCCCACTAAAGAAGTGTAGGACTCTTTTTCATAATATTGATACGATTGGACTCATATTGCCAATGCACTGTTATTGAGAAATCAATATTTTTGAGTGCTAGATCTAGGTCTAGATCTAAATAGTCAAAATATTTTTTTCTCCCCAAATTCACTACTGTTTGATGAAATTACTCAAAAAGTGCCACTCAAGACATGTATAGGTTTATTCCACATGCAATTCTGAATAATTCCATATAAGATACGAGCGGGGTTTTTTTCTGTTTGTGATCGTTTTTCAAGCTTCTAAAAATTTTTTTTTTTTTTTTCAATATCGGATGTTATGTTCAAAATGTACAAATATTATGGAATGTAGGTAAATAACTGTAAACTTTTCAATATTTTCCAGTTCTATATTCATTTATGGTTATTTTGATATATCATTTGACTAGATCTAGGTGCAAACATATTTTTTGAGTTTCACGAAAGATTATAAATTTTTTATTTTCAAATTTTATCCACATCCAATCAAAACTGTGTTGCATAATCGTCTCTTACAGGAACCAAAGTTGAAAAATACATAAATAAACATTACAGATGTATTCTACAAACCATACTGAAAATATTGGTATATAATACGTTGATATTTATTTGAATTTGTGGCCCCAAAGACCTTTTAACTGCCCACTAGTCATCATCTCTTTCGCTCCCAAAAAAAAAATTTGTCCACAAGCCGAAAATAATACGTAGTGAATGAGTTAAACTGTGCTGAATGAAAAAGTTTCGATATCTAGAACTTGAACTTTTTGTCACAAAAGATTGAGATCTTCTTGTTTGAAGCGTTTAATGAGCATATAAATACTTTTTTTCCCTCGTAGATGATCTCATTACTCCCAAGCAAGATCATGAAACTATTGGAGTTCATAGGATTTTCTGGTAAAAAGGTGAGTACCTATGACAAAAGATTTCTCGGGTTTTGTTTTGTTTTGTTTTGTTTTTTTGGTGGGTTTTTTTTTTTTTTTTGGGGGGGGGGGATGTGTTTGTAAACAGACTGAATCGTTGCTTAGCCAGAAGGACATCTGTGTCTTTAAAAAAGGTCGTCATCATATTTTCCTTTGTTCACATAATTAAAGATGAGGACCTGGAAACTGATGGAGATGAAATGTGTGAAGGATAGCAATGTTGGCCTAACAGGATGTAACTCTGTTTTTCTGTGTAGGTGACTGTGGTAGATCAAGGTAGCTGGCTTAAGAAGCTATTGTGGATATATGTAAGCTTTCAGTCAGAGAAGGTGCATGATTTTTAATTTTAACTCTAAATGATAGTGGGATTGCATGCACCAGTAGGCTTTCTGTCTTACGAGGTATAGACGGGACTGTAAATAAGCAGTTTAACTTTAACTGTCAATAAACAATCAATATTTGCTACTTTCATGTTGCCAAAAATACTTTCTGTGTTACAAATTCATCTTTGCTTGGCCAGTCACTGTGGGACACCTATTGTTATGCACATCCTTGCAAAAAAAGTTTAAAAAATAAAAAGGTTTCTTGTGTGAGATCATTGAAGTTGTTGTTTTTTTCCGTTTTTTTTTTCTTTCTAATTCTCATGTTTTCTCTAATGGGTAGTTAGAGGGCACCACTGGTATGTCTTACTTCTTTTTTTCCCCTCTTTTGTTTCTTGCTATGTGTCTTGGGTTTTTCCTGCACTATATGACTGTTATTATGTGGATGTAATTCTCTTTACTTGAACAAACCAACCTTAGTGGGCGGTTGGCGAGTACCCTAATGTGGCTTGCTCCTTTTTTCCCATGATATACCTATTGTCGTTATCTCTCCACCTGCTTTTTTATGTTTGTCACTCTCTTGTAACACCTCTAATCTTTGGTACATATATGACCTTATTTTGTTGAAAGAGCCACAAAACTCTTACCAATAAAAAAAAAAAGCAACGAAAAAACCCAACCCCCCCCCCCCCCCCCCCATAAAACGCAAATTGAAAAAAAAAATTTTAACCCAGAAAAAACAAACAAAACAAACAAAAACCCATTTATTCTGGGTTTCTCTCTCTCTTTCTAGTCCTTTGGACTGAGTCAGCTTCAGCGCGCCTGTGAACTGGGCATTGGTTTACGCAGCAAGCTGTGTGCTCTGATGCTGGTTGCGTACCACTCTCTGGTGACCTACATTCTGGGTAAGGCTCATTTCTTTTTCCATATTTTATTTGCATGGCTTTTTCCTTTTTTTTTTTGGGTTTGTGTGTGCTCTTGATGTGCTCTAGATATAAAGAAAAAACAACAACCTTGCATGGCTAGACATAAATTTTATGTCTTTGTATGTGGCATGCATGGTGTAATGAAAGTGCAGATGAAAATCTTCCTGATGCTCAACATTTATATTCTTTCTGTGAGCTGTTAAGATTTTAGGCTTTTATTCAGGTATTGCTCTATTGCTTTTTTAAGGCTATTTTTACACAAAATATGCGTTTTTTCAAGACCAGTTCTTTGTTATCTTTGAAAAGTATTTATTATTAGCAGAAAAATACTACTTGGTGTTGCTATTTGGCTTGTCACTGTAGGACTGTGTGTTTCTATACTGGGTGTTCAGGGCCTTTTTGCAGTAGAATTGATCATATTGCCCTTGTGTTTGTAAAATTAAGTTGCTAAGCGAGGCCGGTTTTGGGTCAAGCTGTGCAAATTGAGATGTTTGCTAATTTTTGAAGATCAACCATTTCTTTGTCTAAAAGTAGCATGGAGACAATTGAGAAAGTCTTTATTCTCTTTGTAAATTACCTTTAAAAATTTGAGGGTGGGTTAAAATATAGTGAATGTTCACAATAATTGTTGTTTTTCTCAAAATGTCATTTTTTGCAGTTTGTCCCTTCTCCTTTGTTAGTTTTCATCTTTTTGACGTGAAACTTTCAGGAAACATAGATGGCAAGGCTGCCATCAATGTAACAGATATTTGCGCAAAAAAAACCCAACTCTTTTCCTTTGGCAAGCGATTAGTCAACCTTAATTTAGAAAAGTTTTTTTACGCATTGGAAAAATTCTCATTTTTTTCCTTCCATTGCACTTATTGAAAAAAACTTGCTGTTACGCTGATAAGGTGTGGTTCTGGTATACTCTCACCATATTTGGTCAAATTTGGTCAGTAAATAAGAAAGCCTAAGGGATTTAAAATTCTGTTTGCTTTCAAGGTGGCGGCAGTTTCCATAGCAACGCTGTGGCTATGCCAAAATGAAATAGCTTACCAAGAGATTTTCCTATGCCTAACTTATATGTGTACTTAGATTTGATCTCGGGCAACAGACATAGAAAATGGACGTTGAGGGTCGCTCCTCCCGTTCAGAGTTGTAAGAGAAAAAATGTTAAAAACCCCTTTCTTCTTATTTTGAAAATACCCCTTGAAAAGTAGAGTCCTTTTTGGGTCACCCGATACCCATTAAGACAGTAATGAAAAAGATAACTCAAGAAAAAAAAGTGTCTTTTTTAAATGGGGCAGAGGGAATATTCGTTTGCTGGATTATCAAAATAAAATTATTGATATCATAAAATTTTACATTGTTCTTTTTAAAGAGTTGTTGAAACTCGTTTAGGAATTCAAAGTACTATCAATTCAGAGTTAAAAATTTCACCGAAGGTTACTGGCAAAACGGGAAAAAACACTTATTGAGCAGTGGAAAACTAAACCTTTTGTAAAGAAAATAATAAGAATTAAAACGGAAGAAAGTTAAAATTAAAAACAAATGAAAGGCACACAGATTTTTGCTCTTATGCCAGTTTGTCACTGCTGGATATTTAAAATCTGGATTTTTAGCATCTTTTCTTGGCAACTAGTCTGTCTCTGTGTTATGGAGATTCTCTGAATGGACGATTTTAAATTCTCGCATGGGCCGGTTGTAATTGTTCACTGGTCTGCATGCGGCCCTCGGGCCATGAGTTTGATACCTGTGTCATAGATCCACTGCACCAGTACTTCTGGTTTTTTCCTAATATGACCTGACCTCATTTTAAAAAGATATGAAGTCTTTTTGTGCAAATCAGATGATTCAGTCTGTGAGGACTTTGTTAAAGAAAAGTGAACATGTTTTCTGCTGTGATTTGCAAATAGGTTGAACTTGGTTTAGTTTTTGTGTCCTGTTTCTTTTTTTAGAGCAATGCTGTACTTTTAGTTTGGGTCAGGGCACGTCTTTGACACCCGAATCATTGAGAATGTGTTGTAAAATTCTGCCTTACCTTTGAATTAAGATCTGTGTGGTGATGGGTTCCCTGTGGACAATTTTTTTTTGGGGGGGGGTTGATACTGTTTTCCCCTCATGTGCGAGATCTGGTTTGGGTTTATTACCAGGCAATTCAGACTATGTGTGATATGACTTTTGGGATACATGGTTTGATCTCACAATCATGATACATGGTTTTGGGATTTTAAAATTGCTATTTAGTTCTTTGACTTACCATGGGATGGATTGATATTAGAATTAAGATCTGATAACTTTGACAAGATATTTAGCAAACTTTTAGGTATGTGGTTATTGCAAGTTGTGCTAACAGGATACTGTAGGCTGACAAGATACACAATTATTGAGTGCTGAAAAATGTATTTTCAATTGATTATTGTTTTTCGGATCATAGCTTGTTCTTTTTTCATAAAGTTAGTTAAATATATTAATGCCTCTTTTTCATATCATAGAACACTTTTTTAATCATTGGCACGCATATGTTAATTTACCTATGAGTGCTTGGAATGAAATTTTGATTGAACATTTTGCCTTACGAGTGTAAACTTTTCAGCTTGCTCACTGATTCATATTAGTTTGATGTGGTATGTATTTTTCGCTTGTACAAATTTTGTACATACTCGCATAAACATAGTATTGTCATTATATATATATTTTTCTAGTTTCTTTTTATCATTCTGTGCAAATTGTTAACCATAAGCGGATGAGGAACAGAGTGACTTCGTTCTGTATGTCTTTAACACAAACCAGGCATATTAATATGCTGTGTATGCAAGCATTGAAACATTCTCTTCCAGAGGCACATACACAGACATTCACACGTACATGACATACTTATGCACATACATGTGCATGTGCAAGTGCACACACACACACATGCACAAACACGCTCACACGCGCATGCACAGGCCTACACACATGCACATACACACACACACACACACACACACACACACATACACACACACACACACACACACACACACACACACACACACACACACACACACACACACACACACACACACACACATGAAGGCTGAATTTTAACAAATCTTTCTGAATTTTGCTTATTATTTTTGTTCTGGAAAACATATCCCCCCCCCCCCCAACCCCCGGAAAAACAACAAAAGAGCAATTTCATTTCCCCTTCATAAACTGGGTGCTTTCTTCAAACAAGAGTATCGTCTACTATGCCTTGTTACTAGAGCTATTTTTAAAAGTCCTTGCAATGTTTTATGATCTCAAAGGTTTGGCTGATGGAGACATTGAACTAGCGACAGAGGTTCTCCAACCATGTTTAAATGATCATCCAAAGGTGAGATATTTGAATATGGTGAGAAAAGATGCCATATTTATTATAAGTTTTTTTTTTGTTATTCCATCTTTCTGTGAAAACTAAAGGGTTTCCCTGGGTTTTTTTTTTTTTTTCACTTCAAAAAAATTGAGTAGTATCTGAATAAAGTAAAAGTAATTCTTTTGGTATTGTGTGAAGCCAGTGGGCACATAATTGTGTATTCAGTAAGCCTTTCACTTAATAAATGTAGCCATATTGATGCACATTTTGCTTCTTTGGCGTGTTGATTTGGGTCCAATTAAGAAATTATTAGTAACAAAGGATAAGTTTTTGCTGTAGGAGGAAGGGATTCTGAGTGATTGTTTACTTTAGGATGTATTTAAAAGTGATGAATGCTTCTTTTATTTCTTTTTTTCAATAAGTTTATTTTGCTTCCCATTTGCTTTGTCATTTTGGTTTTATTTCTCTTGCCTGTTTTACCATAGTTTGATTTCATTATGTTTTTTTGCTTTGTATGTAACTCCCTGTGGGCATTTAAGGTCCATAAACAGTTCACTGTCTCACCAACAGGGGACACAACTTTCAAACTGAGAAGGTGCGGTCAGTACACTACTACCTCTCTGGTGTAGTAATGGTGTCTTTTCTCCGTACTTGAAGTGTCATATCTGTAGCTCTTCTTTGTGCTAATCTGTCAACCGAGAGTCCTGTGTAGCACAAAGTAGAGTCCCTTTGACGAAAAGCTCTATTCATATTTTGTTGGACGTTAACTTGGTTAAAAAAATAATCTTAGAAAGATAAATTGTTTAAATGAATGTATTTATTTAAGTAACCAAATAAAGCAGATTGCAATTTTCAAACCTTAGGTTCTTACTGTACAGTTTCGTTCATGTATTTTCTTTATGGTGAAGTAACCTTTGCGTCTTTCATGCTTTGCCTGTTGAACTTAAGTTTATCTAAGTAATTTTACTTGTTTTTTCTGGGGGTTTGTGTGTGTGTGTTTGGGGGGGGGGGGGGGGGGGGGGGGGGGACTGCATGTCTTTCTTCAGATCTAAATTATGTGAGCACCACAAAAATTTCCTATAGCGGAGACGTGACAAATTGAAGGGAAAAAATAAGACTGAAAATTTTTTCAGAATGTGCTTTATTCTGCTTCCCCCCACTCCCACACCATGTGTATATGAATAGGAATATATATTTTTATTGTTAAGCTGAAAAGGTCTTTAGGATAAAGTTTATCTGTCCTGAAAAAGAGTTGAAAATGTGGGTCGTTTATGAAATTGGTTGTGAGTCGACTTTTTGGTCGTTTTTTGGTTAAGCTTTTGCCTTATATTGAGTTGAGTGGTTTAAGGAACACCACGGCAGTAGCCAACAGCCAGAAAAAGTCGATTTAGGTGTCCAAGAGTTGAGTGGTTTAAGCTGGTATTTGAAAAGATATGAAAGATAAAAATTTTTACGGGTCTTTAACATTTATTTCTCTTACTTAATGAGTTTTGATGCAATTGATTTGTTCTTTCAGGGTGCCCTGTTTCTCTTTTTCTCTGGACGTCTTGAGGAAGTGAAAGGAAACATTGAAGAGGTAACATTGTGATGGTTAATCTTTGGTTGTTTTGAAAAATCAGTAAAAAAAAGTCTTGGACAGGTTCTTCTGAAGGAGAAAAAAAAATCATACATAAATTAATGGGAACCATCATTTTTTTTTTTCCAAATATATGCCTACTGTGCAATTTCTTTAACAGTAGAAGTTGGAGTGGTTGTTTCCTTCAGTTCAGCTGGTGACCAGAGTTCTCCCCCCCCCCCTACCCCGCCCCTCCTTTTATTTCACAGTGTGTGGGTAACTAGTTTTAGTGTTCATTCTACTTCTTCCTGGCTTGTGGCCTTTCATTAAGTTACCTGTGGGGGGGGGGGGGGGGGGGGCCATGTCATTATTGCACCTTGCAGTATGTGGCTCTTGTCATTTTGATCTGTTATTAATTGCTACTGAGCTCAACAACTTTTCTTTACCATATGTATGCTTTATTATCTCCATCCTTACCCACAGGGAGTTCACAGTTTTGACGAGTCCAGCAGTTCATGGAACATTTGTTTGTAATGTCTCTGGTTCTATTGTGATTTCTATTTATTATTTTTTCTTTACTATATATGTATGCTTTATTATCTTCATCCTTGCCCACAGGCAATTCGCAGGTTTGATGAGTCCATTGATTCCCAAAGCGAATGGCGTCAGTTCCATCATCTATGCTACTGGGAGCTTATGTGGTGCCACTGGTAGGTCTTCTCCACGCCTTCTTCTTGACTGCATCACACTTGACCGCACACAGCTTCTTCTTGACCGCATCACACTTGTCCGCATCACACCTTGTTCTTGACCGCATCACACTTGTCCGCACCACACCTTGTTCTTGACCGCATCACACTTGTCCGCATCACACCTTCTTCTTGACCGCATCACACTTGACCACATCACGCCTTCTCCCTCTCGATCAAATCACACCTTCTTCTCGATCGCATCACATTTGAAGTCCGGTATCTATCATATATGTGGCCGTCCTGCTCAGTTTCTCTGATGCCCCATACAGCTTCTCCTGTAGTATCAATGGGGTTGGCCATGTTTCCTATCTCAGGGCCCTGTGTGTCCTGTAGTGCTGAAGGGTGTGTTCCACAGTCGGGTCAGCTTCTTCACTTTGACGTCTTAGTGACTACTATTTTAAAACATATGTACATGTGTTGTTGAGTCTTGTGTGTCGTGTTCTCAGTCTGAAGATAATCACTTGTTCTTGGCGGGACAGCTCATAGTAGTTATCCGGTGTCTGTGCTGCATCAAATAGTTCTTTTTTTTAATGAGAGTTTTGAGCATGTGTCCAATAAACCTCTTTTCTGAAAAACTTTTACAAGCCTTCATCAATGTTCCACTTGAACTGGACTAGATCTGGGGTAATTTGTGACCCTCAGCTCTCGGGATGATAATTTGCGGCTCCTACTTGATATCAAAGTTATGTGCACTCCCCGGGGCAGTGCCACTGACTGAAGTGTCTTTAGGCCATTCCCAAAGGGGGGACATTTCTCGTTCAAGCATAGTAGAATTGTAAATGGGCTGACTCATGTCACGCTCATAACTGTGCCTGATCTACAACAGGGAACTGCTGCTTTTTCTTTCCTGATCCTTACTATTGTCATTTTCCTCTACTTCTTTTGTATGTTTGTCACTCTCTTGTGACCTGCTATTTTGGGGTGCCTTGGTAGTCGAAGCAGACCTTGTGCTGTTGAAACTAGAGAGGTGAGCAGTCTAAGTCTGATTACCTGTAAAGACTTCTCTGTTGACACCCACCCCTTGGCGCTCATATGCCCTCATGCAGTTGCGAGCGCAGTAAAACCCTCTACTATTGAAAAAATTTAAAAAAAATTTTTTTTTGTTCTATGCGATCCGCACATTTTTTTTTTCAAATGAACCTTTTGCCAAAGAGCCATTTTGTATGGATGGAGTCTCTATAGTTGTTTCACGCTGCCTTAAAAAAGAATGCCTTGCAAAGCATAAAGATTTAATGGATTAAATTGTGCATCTTAGATGCAAATAAATGAGTGATTTTTTACTTTTTGCTGCCTTTTAGGTAGTGTTAGGACCTTTTTATCATTTAAAGCTTTTAACTAGGTTCCTCACATGCTTTTATGTGCAAGAACTCATGTGCTTTTGAGGTAAGAAGAGAACTCTTTATCAGGTTTGTCCACTTCATCTTACAGAAGCAGCCAGTGAGGCATAAGGAGGTTTTAGTGCAAATTTTGCTAGTCTCTAAAATAAGTTGTACTGCTTCTGTTAAAAAGGATCTCCCTATATGCTTTTTTCTTTTATTTTATAAAGTCTTTTCAGTTTGTGGGTGGTTGGGGGGTGCTCTGGTGTGGATTGCTGCTTCTTTCCTATAAAAAATTTTCATACTTATCTTTCCTTTCCTTTTCTGTGTTACTCTCTAGCAACACCTCTAATCTTTGGCTCTTATTTGACCTATTTGTGTTGCAATTGCTGTAAGATTCTTACTAAAACAAATGAAAAAACCCAAAATCTTTTCAGTTTCAAGCGTGACTGGCTCATGTCCATGAAGTACGCTGAGCGCTTGTGCCGGGAGAGCAGGTGGAGCAAGGCTACTTACACCTATCAGAAAGCTGCCTTCCTGTCAGTGTGCCCCGACCAGTCTGAAGAGACAAAAAAACATTTGGACTATCTCTTTGGGTATGATATTTCTAGTGGGTGATTAGTGGGTACTATGCTGTGGTTTTCTCCTTCTTTTCTATTCAAATATCTATTGTCCTTATCTTTCCTGCTTCTTTTCTTTTTTTTTGTGACTCTCTATTAACACCTCTATCTTCTGCACTTATATAACCACATTGTGTTGCAAGTGCCATAAAACTCTTACTTAAATTAAATGTATATTTTTCTCTTCACTTGATGTTCTGAAGAGGCTGAGACTCACACCAGGGATATCACAGGGTTATTACAAAACTATTAGACGTGCTGAATCAGCTATGGTTTTAGTCTGTAGTAATGTGCGTACTGGATAGTACCTTCAGTATACTATGTAGTGTTGTGTGGGGTAATTGAATGTCTTGTCTCTTTAGATAAGAACGAACCCCATGAGCACATCATTTTTTAAATGTCGAAAACTCCTTGGGTATAGAAAGTGACGGACGAGCAGGCTCAGCCATGTAACTAAGTTTACATTTGTGTTATTGTTTACTGTGGTGTGTACTCTCTGAGCTTTGGTGGAATTTCGATAAAATTGTATTTTCACACCCCCTCACAAATGCACTTGTCAAAGTAGCTGAACTTCTATATTTTTGACTACAGAACACATACAGCCATTAAAATCATTGCAAACCAATTGTTTGCAAGAAAATCTGTATTCTTATTGCAAAACATCAAATAATGGTGAAATATAGAGGGGCGTTTCACCTTGAACCTCCCCCCCACCCCCAACCCCCAATCCCCCCGGCGCCAGTTCGTTAAAAGCTACCAAAATATTACAAAATAAAATATTATTACGCTATTAGGCCTAATATAATTTTGTTGCAAGTGTCCTAAAATCCTTACTAAAACTAAAATATCGCTTTTTTTTCTGTGGGCCACAGAGACGTGCCTAGACTGAAACAGAGAATAGCTGGAAAGTCTCTTCCTTTTGAAAAGTTTGCAGTAGCGAAGTCTCAGCGGTACTTCCAGCAGGGGAACTACCTTATTTTGCCAGCTCTGGTAAGTTTTGATTTCTTTGTCTTCATTTTTATACCCTCTGAAAATTTACATCTCACAAGAGCTGTGCCCATTCGACTTTACTATTTGACATTCATGATTTTGCACTATTCACAGCTGTTCGAAGCATGGCAGAGCCATTCGAAAGCCGTATGATTTTTAAAAAACAGATAATGGATTTTCGTCTCATTTTTCTCAAACATAGAAAAATTTGGAGCACATTATATATAAAATCATTAAGATAAATATACAGGAATACTCTTTATTTGATGGTTACGAGACAGAGTGATAAAAGGAGCCTACAAGAATTATAAAACAATCCTTTAGAGAATATCTCTTACTGTTCAATATTCACTCGCCACGCTATGGACAGCTCAAGCAAGGGCACATGACTCTTGAAGTGCAGCGAATTTTTTTTCCATGAAGTTAGCTGTTGCAAAGAGCTCCCCTAACCCTACTCGAAATTCGAAGCGCTATGAACGATGATGTGATGTCAACACGTTGCACTGTCTGCGACAACAACACACGCGCGCTCAGTGACTGGCGGGCTTTCACAATATAAGAAAAAACAATTCGGTGGTGCTTCGAATGGCGGAAGTTACGTCTGGGCTTATCACATATAAGAAAATAAGTTTCGACGGCCCTTCCAATAGCGGAAGTTAGATCTGGGTTTATCTTAAATAAGAAAAAATGATTCGACGGTGCTGTGAATACCGGAAGTTAGATCTGGGCTTGTAACTTACAAGAAAATACGATTCGACGCCCCTTCGAATTGCGGAAGTTAGATCTGGGCTTATCTTATATAAGAAAAAAACAATTGATGGGCTGTGAATGGCAAAAGTTAGATCTGGGCTTGTCACATATAAGAAAATACGATTCGACGGTGCTGTGAGTAGCGGAAGCTAGATCTGGGCTTATCATATATAACAAAATACGATTCAACAGCGCTTCGAATAGCAGAAGTTAGGTCTGGGCTTATCACATATAAGAAAAAAACAGTCGACGGCACTGTGAATAGCTAGCGAATGTAGAATAGAGGGACTTAGGTCTGGGTTTATGCTTATCATATCGCGACCTCAGTATTTTTTTGTCGTATCTCCATTTTGTTAACAGTGAAAATGTGACATTTTCTTAAGCTCACTCTTTATTACTAGTTGGGTCCCCTTTCGATGAAAGTAATGATCGGTGCATTAACATCAACTGAAAGTCACTGACCTACTATATTTACACTCTACTGGAATGGAGCAATAAATCTTGAGAGAAAAGTGACACACGACGTGTTTCCTAGTTACCAAATATATAATAGACGTATGGATAGATAATACGATTATTATTATCTGCACGTCTGTTCTTGCGAACTACTCACACGCACGAAGCAAGCAATATGAAACAGAAGTAGTCCCCAGTAAAATGTGAAATGGCTAAGGGCAGAGTGAAAACATCTGAGAGCTTCGATTTACAGGAAAAACTATGAAACCTGAAAAATCAAAAGGCAGTTTCCGAACTTTGGAAATATACCCACGTATCCCTTTCGGACAATTCTTGTCTGAATCATATTTTTGTAGATTTTATGAGCACCTGTGTAAAAAGTATTTACTGACGCCACGAACGGGCTTAGCTCCATTATAATAAGATGAACTGTTTTCATTGTTATTAAAAATGGAGATACGACAAGAAAGCACAGGGGTCGCGATATATAAAAAAAAGCATTCGATGGAGGTATTCTAATATTATGAATAGTGAGCTCCCGCTTCGAAGCTTCAATGATATTTTGTTTCCTCAAAATTGCGCAGCACTACATCTCACTATGTCAAATCGGATGGTTGGGGGATGCCATTAGTTTGGTTTCTTTTCATTTCTCTTGATTCTGTATGTCTTTCTTTATACAAACCTGCTGTGGAGGGCTCTCGTGGCCTAAAGGTTAAGGTGTTCGCCTCTTATTCAAGAGGGTTCAAATCTGGGTAGCAACGGAAACATTTTTTTCTCTAAAATTATCTTCTTTTACCTATTTTCCTGCTTTCTTGCAATGTTTTGTTGTCTGCTTTCATTTCCACTTTCTGCCCCCACCCCCGCACCTCCTTTGCCCCCTCCTCTGGGCTCCTGACTCTTTCTGCAGTCTTTCTACTGCTACTCCTTACCTCCTTTTTACTGCTGTCTTTCAGCCACACCCCTGATCTTCTAGAAGGAAAGATTTACACCTAGCCTTCTTGGACAAGGGCGAAAGTTGCACGCATAAAAGATCCTTTAGTGGTCTAAAATTGATAAGAGTAGGCTGCGGCTGCTACTCGTGCAAAATTCCCCGCATGCTCATATGACCTTATGCTGCAACGAGCGCCGTAAAACACTTATAAAATTTTTTTTAAAACTTTAAAAAACCTGGTCTTGCTGACTGTTGACCTGTCAACGTGCCATTCACACTGAAACTATTGCCGATGTATTAATTGGGGATCTGCTGGACTATGTGTTTAGGTTTCTTTTAGGTCATATACTGTCTGATCCTGATGCAGGTGTTAATCTAAGTGCTGACTAGTTGAAGTAACCACAGCCTTTTTTTGTTGTTGTTGTTTGTTGTTGACTATAAACCAAAGACAGTTGTCTTTTTATGAGGGACTTGGTAATTCTTGTTCATTTTAATTTGGCTGGAATGCAACAGTTGTTTGGGTATGGTTGTGGGGTGGGGTGGGGGGGGGTGCTCTTTCTGCATGTTGAGATGTTGCATTGTAGTTGGTGGGTGGTTGGTGAGTGCTGTGGTGTGGTTTGCTTCTTCTTTCCTACCAAACATCTTTCGTCCTTATCTCACCTCCTTTTTTTGTACGTTACTCTCTAGTAACACATCAAATCTCCTGCACTTATATGGCCTATTTGTATTGGAAGTGCTGTTGAACTCTTGATAAAGCTGAAAAAAGATTGTAATAGTTAAATAGGCAGTTCCATAAAAGCCAACTGCACTGTGGGTTGAGGTATCTATTGTCGGCTACCCCGGAGGTATAGTATGAAGTCAGGAAGAAAAGAGAAGAACAAGAAGATGTGTGAATTCTTGACTTATTTTGCCCTCCTCATTTTTTTTCAGGAACTGATTTATGTATGGAATGGCTTCAACATCATTGGCAAGAACCAAAAGCTGTTAGGGGAGATGCTGATGGATGTGGAAGAGACAATTACCAAAATTGCAGAGAAGCAAGGTGAACCCCTGTTTTCTTTGTTTTTGATTCACTGTAGAAATGAGAACTATAACTTTGAGGTAGTACACAAATATTCTTGGCCTGTTCGTAGTATAATGACAGTGTTATGCACTGTGTCACTTGTTTCCTGAAATTTTTTAAACCCCCCTAAAACCCTTCCTTTGTGAATGAGAGGAAACAGTTAAGTTAGCCTACAGTCCTTTGATTCTATTAATAGTTCATGCTGAATATGGATTTGTATTGAGGGCCCACATTAACTCATATGACTGGGCCCTTTCACCAGTCACAAGCGTTGAAGACTGACGTTTTTGGGGGTATTTCAATAAATCACAACAACTCTCAGAATTACCCTATTGTAATCATTTTTTGACACAGTAAAGTAACATTCAAACTTAATCTAATACAAAAAACTAAAGTTGTCTAAGTCTAATACTTTAATTTGTATGATTTTTAAAATTTGATTTTCCGAAAAATTTCCAGAGACGTGACAGGTAGAATGAAATTCACTACAACAACAAAAATAAAAGTTCAAAGTGTTCTGGTTTGATTTGTATCCATGTGCGAGTGTTTGGTGAAAATATAAAAGCTGGTCTGTGCATTGATTCAGACCCATACACTGAATTATATGAGACAGATGTACGGCACGACGTTGTGATTTCATTGCGCAAAAAACACCAGTACCAGTGCTAGATCTAGCCCTAGAACTACGACTCAGGCTGTGTTCGGGTACATATCCAGGATCCTAACTATTAGACACATCATATTCTGAGACACTAGAACTTGTAAAACGTACAGAAGTATAGAAAACGGCGTAATTATGTGATTCTTGTTCATGCGACTTCTTCGACCGTTACTACAACGCGACTGTCGGATTACTATCAGCTGTATAGAAAAAAACAAAGCACGAGTTCCGGTCTGTTCAACCCCAGTTGGGGTCACTGTCCTTCACCTTCAATAACTTAAAAACTACCGGCCCCAGAGATACGAAACGAAGTCTAGGTAGCTCAGGCTTGGCCAAACAAGGGTAATAATAAAATAATGGATTGCATTTATATAGCGCATATCCACTTATGCAATGCTCTATGCGCTTAACATGATACATATTATAGATTTACAAATCAATTTTAAAGGTACATAGTGTTACATACTCGTGCAAACACATATTCACTCACGCACGCACCACACACACATACATACACACATACGTACATTTGCACATACGCACATACAAACTCACAACGATCTACAACTTGGATGGATTCTGTCTAATCGAAATATGATGAAAATAGAAATGATTTTAGATTCTTCTTAAAAATTTCTAGATTTTCTGCTTCTCTGATAGTTTTTGGAAGCCTATTCCAAACAAGTGGGGCAAAATATGAAAAAGAGCATTGGCCATATGATTTGTAATTTATTTTAGGCTTAACAAGGGTTGTTTTGTCACTTGATGATCTGAGCGTTCTAGGAGGCACATAGGGTGTTAAAAACTGTTTTAGATAGTCCGGTGATAAATCATTTAAGCACTTGTAGCAAGTTAAGCAAGGGTACGAGGCGGGTCTCGCGATCCGTGCGTGATTTGTAGAGTGGAAAAAAAATTCCAAAGTTGGTCACGCAGGGCTTGTGGGAGCCGTCGCGAGCGTCATGGCGGGGGTCGCACAACTGTTGTGTGAACCGTCTGAAGTGAGTTAAAAAAAAAAAGAAGTATAAAGTACATGTTTTTTGCCCCCATTAACACAATTTAGATCATTAAGGAGGCATGCTTTGACCCTGCCTGTGAGGTCCATCGAGGCCAAGATGGATACAATGTCCCAGAAAAAAACCCATAGACACTAGATAAAAGTTCCCCCGCCACAGGAATTGAACTTAAATCTTATAATGACAGCAAAGTGCTTAACAACTATGCCAAGCAAGCCAGTACCTCTAGATTGACCTCTGCAATGGTAAAAGAACTGAAAAAGAGTTGACCTATTTCTTCCAGTTTGGAAGTAAGAGCATAACTTCATTGACATGTATGACCACATCAATATGAATTTGCTGATTGTTGTCCTATTTCTATGTCTGCCTTTGAATGTTTGTTTTTGTATTTATCAATCTGGTTCACATAGTGCAGCATAACAACAAAGATAATACTGTGGAGGATGATTTAGTCTAAAGCAAGCATCCTCAACAACTCAGGAGCAAAGTGATTAAGTTATTACAGATGTCTTATCTATACTATTGCAAGTGTGATGTTATTTTTAGTCAGTATCTTGTATTCAAAGAATAGAAGCAGAGATAATTTTTTTAAAATTTCTATCCGAGAAAGGAACAAATCTTGCCATTAGCGCAGACAGTGACATCTATAATTTTAATAGAAGCTTACTCAAAGAAATATTTTAAACATTTTGCTTAAATGCTTTAATTTATCTCACATTGTCAGCAATAGTGATTTGGCTGTATCTCTTTAATGGTATTTCTTATTACTCTTTGAAAGGTTTAAAATGTACATGTTGTCAAGTTTACAGTTATAATGTTAGGCAGATGAAAACTTTTTCTATCTGTAATGCTGTGTGCCTTTTAAAATTTAAAAAATAAAAAACTAATAGGTATCTACTCAATATTTTTTGTCCAGATTCTGCCGAGTCTGAGAAGTTCTACTATGACAACTACAGCCTGGCCCTGCTGTTGAAAGGCGTGTGTCTGCGACACAGAGATCAGCTGTTCCAGGCTGAGCAATGCTTTCAGGAGGTTATTGCCAAGTAAGTGGGTGCCAATGCTTCCTGCTTTTTGTATTTGCAAGTTCTGCAGTTGTTCTATAGAGGATGTGGATGGTTGGAGGGCACCACTAGTGAGACCCACTTCTGTTTCTTTTGTCCTTGTGGTTTCTGTCTGCCTGTTGTACTTCTTTGAAGTCAAAAAATTGACCATTATTGTGTTGATGTGCTTCTTTGTACTCAAACTACAGGGAGTATTCTCTGTCCCTGCCCATCCTTTTCAGAGGAAGAATGACAGCTTTCTGCTGTATATTGATAGGAAATGAGGAAAGATTATGATCTCACAGTTTCCTTAGAGTGGTCACATAATTATTGTAGGCACAGTGGGGAGGATGCTGGGGCTGGATTCAGTACAGAAGGGCAAGGGTAACACGAACAAAGAAAACTGAAAAACCCCCACCTACATCTGTTTCTAAGACCCTTTAGATATAGGAATAGGTAATGCAGGAGGTTGGTGGGTGGTTGGCGGGTGCTCTGGTGTGGTTTGCTTCTTTTTTCCTATCAAACATCTATCGTCTTTATCTTTCCTCCTTCTTTTTTCTGTTTGTTACTCTCTTGTAACACCTCTAATCTTCGGCATTTATATGACCTTATTGTGTTGCAAGTGCCGTAAAACTCTTACTAAAACTAAAACAGGTGGTTGGTGGGTGCTCTCATGTGGTTGCTCATTCTACCTTATTTTCTCCTTTTGTGTGTTGTTTTCTCTCTTGTAATCTTTGGCACCTATATGACCTTATTGTGTTGCAAGTGATGTGAAACACTTCCTTAAACAAAGGAATAGGTTAGTTATGAGGCTGATTGTGATAAATGGTTTTGTCTCTGTTCACAGTGAGAAAAAGATTGTGAATGACTACTACTTACTGCCCTACACTATTGTGGAGCTGGCCATCATTCAGCTGCTACAGGAGAGGTTTGACGAGGTCAAAAAGAATTTGGACAAGGTCAAGTAAGTGCATTCTGTCTTGAGAAAAATTAACTGAGTCCCCTCAAGGGTTTACCATTTCCTTTGGAGTTAAGATGAATATGTGGTATGATGGTATATATAGGCTTAATTTCCTGGTTTTGGTAACTCTGTATGCATAATTTCCCATGTAGGTTATTCGGCAGGGGAGGGGGGGGGGTGGATATGGCATGGTCTGCTCCTGCTGCTGCTTTTTTGTACACGGTTCTCAAAGTGCGGTGAAATTTGTTGATGTTGTGCTGAATTGCTGTGAACTACAACTTGACTATAAGCCCATTTATGCAGCTGGAGTGTGATCTCTCTGTTTAAAAACGTTTGTCTGCTTTCAGTTCAACTGAAACTGAACTTTAAAATTCTGGAATGCTTGTAATGTTGTGGCCTGTGGCCAATTTTGCTTGTTTTAACTTATTTTATTCCTTTAACAATGTTCTTTGTGTTCCTTTCTACTCTTGATGCTTTAATTTTGACATTTTGATATCATAGATATTTTTATAAATCCTGTTCTCAATGATGTTGGTTGAAACCAATGGTCACATACTCAAGTGCTTTGTTTTGTTCTCTGTGCTGTAAATAAACTTGCCCCCCCCCCCGCGGGGCAGTGCCACTGACTGAAGTGTCTTTAGGCCATTCCCAAAGGTGGACATTTTTTGTTCAAGCATAGTAGAATTGTAAATGGGCTGACTCATGTCACGCTCATAACTGTGCCTGATCTACAACAGGGAAGTGCTGCTTTTTCTTTCCTGATCCTTACTATTGTCATTTTCCTCTACTTTTTTTGTATGTTTGTCACTCTCTTGTGACCTGTTATTTTGGGGTGCCTTGATAGTCGAAGCAGACCTTGTGCTGTTGAAGCTAGAGAGGTGAGCAGTCTAAATCTGATTACCTGTAAAGACTTCTCTGTTGACACCCACCCCTTGGTGCTCTTATGACCTTATGCAGTTGCGAGCACCGTAAAACCCTCTACTATAAAATTTTTAAAAATAAACTTGCCGTAAAGTGGATTTATTTTATCATCTGCTGCATTACCTGATACTTGAGCCAGGATTTTACTCTTTTTCATAAAATGATTGGTAAATCAGAAAAGTGTAATGTATGTGGAAAATGGCCAGAGGTAATGAGTGTCTCCTGAGCAAGGGGGTTAATGATAGAAAATCAAGTCTTGAAAGTTAATGCATAATGAACATCCTACTTTTTGAAATTTCAGGTCTGGAACAGATGTTTTCAGTCTTAACTTTTTTCTCATTGTTAAACTTGTTTGTCATGAATGATTTTGTTACTTAAATTATTTATCTCTTTGTTCATCTTTCCTTTCTACATTATCTATTTTTTTTCTTATCTTTCTTTTACTGTCATTCCCTCAGTTCTTCCAATCCGTCTTAGAAACTTAAAAAAAATATATTAATAAAAAGCAAAACTCAAACGAATTACTTTTTGATTATGCAGGAAAAATTACAAGGGATATTACCTGGAAAGCCGCCTCCATTTCCGCATCCATGCCATCCGACTACAACTCAACACGCTCCTCAACAGCGAGGGAGATGCAGATAACGATGAAAGCATCGACCAGACAGCGACAAATGATGTAGAGTCCTGGGATGACGACAATGACCTTAACCCTGACCAGGCCTTCGGTGAGGCAAGTGAGAAATCGATCCCATCGACCGATCTGTGATCTCAGTTTTGTTTAGCATTATCAGGACTTTATATTTCCTAACACTTTGCTGCCATGTCATTTGTGATATTCCTGGGAGGTTGTAACATTTTGAAGTGTTTTTGAAAAATTCTGCATTCTATTATTGGTCCCAGCATGATGTTTTTGGTATCAGTGTCTTTAGTAACGTCAGCACGATTGATTGCGCCTTTGGATTTTTTCTAGAAAATGAATGCGTTTATGCTTGGAAAGAAAAGCTGACTGAGGTAAAAAAAAAAAAAAAAAAAGTCCTTAGTGCAGTCAAAGCTTAGCAATGCCAGTTGCTGGCTGTGCTTTGGCCCGGAAATCAGGCTGTACCAGGGTGTAACTTTTGGGTCATGTGGGATCAGAGGTAGCCCTTTCATAAGTATAGTTACGAGAATACCTGTGAACACTTTGTTAAGTTGTAGAGGGGGTGATTTCAGAATAGCACGGATTCATTTAAAATCAAAGTTACACCATTTCTGTGCAAGTGGAGTATATTCAAGTAATTTTTGCCAAGTATGTTCAAAATTAGGCCAAACTAGTTTTTAAGCAAAGTTGTTGTGGAAATTTATGAAGTTTTGTAATGTTTAAACTTGCCTCTCCCACAACTTTGTATTGATCAATAAATTTTGAAAATTAAAAAGAAAACTTCAGTGCTCGGTTTGCTGCTCTTTTGTTTAAGCTTGTTTTAAAGTCATTTGAGTAAAATTTAGATTTTTTCATTGTCATTGCTACAAAGCTGGATTGAAAGTCATCATTTTATGTTCATTTCTTTTATGTAATGGCCTCACTGGTTCATCTTGTGATATGCCTGTGTCATTCTCTATTTCTAGATCACTTGGAACATAATGATCAGTGTATTCATCATTATCAGGCCCCCATGGGTCATGCACTGGGGATGTGACTAACTGTGTTATTCATAGATTCTGTCTTTTGTTGGGGTTTTTTTTCCTGACAGAACGAAAAAGTCACTCTTTAAAGAAAGTTAACCAAACAATTGAAAGATGATTAGACTTTCTATACAGTGGTTATATTTTTTAAATGACTGAATAGAATTTTTCACGAGAACTTGTCAACATTCAGGCTACACTGCTACTGTCAGAGCTGCAGTGATGATTCAGCTTGTGCTAGACTGTCAAGCGTTGTGGCAGTGAAGTGTTAACTGGGTGCCTGGAAGATACTGCTTTTGGCTCCTCCTCTTTGACTACTTTTAAGCTATCTAAAATGTCTCTTGTCTTGCCTATTGATCTGATATTAATTACCTCAGTTGGGTGGATGTGCTTCTCTCTAACACAAACTCAATAGGAAAAGCAACTTTGTTCCCATTAAATTCAACACCAGTCTGCATAACCAGTATATTCGAGACTCAATATATACCAAAATGCAAATCGACATCTTGGTTCTAGTGCATGATATAGTTAATATATCAGTTGTGAATGTCTTCTACCCTTTTTTTTCCTTTATGGAGATAAATGACAAGGTATATTATTATTCTGGTATTCAAAAAACTCATTGTATCAGTTTTAAAACTTCAGATGGGTGTGCCATTTTTTTTTTTTTACCTTTATGAGGATGCGTAACATAATTTGTGATATTTGAAAAACATCTGTGAAAAAGAGTTATGAGAAACTTGTTGCATTTCAAGCTCAAAATCTGTGTTATGATTTCTCTAAATATTGTTATATTTTAAAACTTCAAGTGTGGTAGTTACTTGCTACTGGATTCAGTGCTCCCTTTTTACTGCCATGTTTGTACCATTGTAACAGCTGATGAAATGCCATAATCTGTTGTGATATGGCCAGCTTCTTTGCTTTTCATGCACCTGGCTTAAGTTCAGTTCTCTTTTTTGTTTTGTTTTTCTGTCTCCATCCTGTGATGTATCTCACACAGGGTTAGTTAATCCAAACAAGCAGGTTCAGAGCAGTTTGCGTCGTAATGATCTAATTGTGTCCATAGAAGGGGGTGCATATTAATGACAGTTTTATTTTCTGCTGATGAATCTTATCCATAATTCTCTGGTAATGGGGAAAGTATACTCACAAAAAAAGTTATTCCGTCGTTTCAGTGTTTTTGGTACTTATACCAATGTGATATAGCCTACTCTTCAAATGAATCTGAAAATGTTCATATTTTATAGTGAGTAGTTCTTTCCTAGCATGCCAAAAATCCTTTTATTTATGTACATAAAATCTCTTGAAAGCCGGAAAGAACAAAATAAAGAAAGAAAAAGGACCAAAAGAAAAACCCAGTGCCAGTTTCACCATAGCCTCATCAGCTAAAGATGTCAATTATAATAACAAATATGTTTAATTTTGTAGTGATTACTTCCAGTGTGGCACTGAGCACTCTGCACTGCTCACATGAAAGTCACTTTTTCGTAATTGGTGACAAAACATAGATATTGTTATATCCACAAGCATCTGCGCCCCCCATCCAAATTACATTCGACTAATCAGAACTTTCCTAATTGTTTGCTGAACAGTAGGACAGCAACTTTATTTGTTCCATTTTAAATGGTTAACCCAAAGTTCATTTTTTATGTTCAGATTTGCTTGCATAAGTCTTTAGATCTGCCCAGGTTTTGAGAAAAATAATCAGCGTTGAAATCTGTGGCGTAGGAATGTCTTTTTGACCTTCTGACAAGTATTAATAAGACAATGGAATTTGAAATACCATCACAAATTCTCAAGTCATTGCCATAATTTGCCATAGCAGAATCTCATATATATATATATATATATTATGTGATTCCACTGGCAAATGGAATGAAGTTATGAAGAAGCCTGATGAAGATGTGAAAGTCATATGCAATTTGGTGTGATTTCCTTGAAAAACAGCTGGTGATCATCAGTGCTGTAGTGCTTGTGATTATTTATTCTTCTCTATTGTTGCTGTTGCAAGCAATCCACTTAAATCCAAATTTTGAGAATTTGAAATTTTTACACCTTCCCAAAACTATTAAAGATAGGCATTTCAACATCACCAAAATGCAGTTTAGTGCTATGGTTATAGTTTTCTAGCTTTTCATTATTCATAATAAGAATAACACAACAAAAACTATTTTTTTTATCTCTGGTGTAAAAAGTATTCAAACAGACTTAAGTAGATTGCTTGCGACACTGATGATATGGTAATAGTGTTGCTAATTGTTTAGACTGACAGATAATTATAAACTATGTATGAAAATTTATTTAATTTTATGCTTTTTACATTATATTTTCATCTTCTTTGACGTCCTCTTCCTTTTTTAAAAACTAAATTTGCTTCACAGTTGTAAGGAACATTGGAATTTGTTGATTGTATATTCCTTTGAGCAATACCCCTCCAGTTGCAGCAGATAGCTTTTGTTTACACAGTTACAGTAATTGAATAAGCAATACAAGGAGATACTATATGTGACATAATGAAAATACATTCTGAATTTGTTCAAGCCATATTTTTTTTTGGGGGGGGGGGTTGTTTGACTGTTGCATTTTTCAGTTTTATCTATTTTTATATTTATTTTTCTTTCAGATTTCTACTCGTTTGATATATAACCATGATTTCAGTGCGTTTGTTTGTGTTGTTTGTGAGTCCTAACTACCTTTGTCAGTGTCAGATGTACTTTTGAAGGAGAAAATTGTAGTGACAGTAATGGATAGGCCATCGTGAAGGGTCACACCTCTTTCTTACTCCTTATGGAGGGTTATGTTCCAGATTTTCATAATAGTCCCACAATGTAACCAGGATTATTTTTATATGCTTCTTGTTAATCAAAATGAAAATAACTGATAAGTTCATTCTGGTAATGACATGCATAGTGCTCCGAAGAACTTGGGATGCAGGACATAGAGACAGATGATGTCATGTGACTTATATGGTGTTGTAAGATACTTGCTCATGATTTTATGGCATGCTAGAAGGCTTTTGTGAAACTGTTTAAATTTCATCAGATAATGTGTCTGCAGATATTCATTGTTTGTTTTTTTGTTTGCATACATTCACAGTCACAAAATATAAGTGTTCAGTGGTTTACAACTATTCAGGTTTTGTAGTTTAAGTGCCAAACTTTGGCAGGGTGTACTTATTAGTTTTCTTTTGAGACTGCTAGAAGAACACTTTGTATAAAACCAGTCAGTTTTGACTTCATTTCTGATCACTCAAGTATGTTCTTACTGAAACATATAAGGATTTTTATTTATAAACATGACTTGTTATTCCAGGTTTTGTCTCATAGTGGGTTGTGTGTGTTTATATAATGTTATAGTTATGAAAGTATTCGAGAGCATTTTTAAACTGCTCAGTTCTTGTAGAGCTCGAACCTTGGAGGGATGTGGGGAGGGGGGGCGAAAGAATGAGAAAGGGAGGAGGAAGAGACAGGAACTATTCATTTGACATTTTTGTTGGAGATGAATTTCACTGTTGACACCTGTGTTGAATTTATGTGATTAGATCTTTTGTTAAAGCTAGTCTACTGAGGGGTTTTTTTTTTACATTTTAAAATTGTTGTTACAGCCTTTATTGCCTTTGCTGTGATTTTCATCATTTGCTCATTGCCTTTGTAGCTTTGCTGTAAACAATTAAAGCTGGGGCTTAGGAGCTAAATATTAGTATATGATGCAAATAATTTGAAGGATGAAAACATAGGGTAAACCTTTTTATAGCGAAAGTTTCTTAGAAATAAAAAGGAGCTCTCGAAGCTATTAGTACATGGATGGATATTGAAAGTTATGAAAGATCGATGATCAAGGGAAGGGGTTCTACTGTGCCAGGCGAGAAGGTCTTCAGGTTAGAGCTTGTTGTCTCGAGCATGCTCATTTGGAATGAGCTGAGTCCAAAAGGACTTATTATGAGTGGGGTCCTCTCTCCCTGGTCATTTCTGCACTGACACAGGCTCGTAAGTTATCCCTCAAGTCAGAAAGATTAATGATTGTCAATTTGCATTTTTGAAGTCCATCAAGAATTTATCATAACAAATGTGTTTGCGAACAAAGCAGTGATGTGTAATGGATGCTCATTTTGAGGAAGCTAGTCATGGAACTTTTTGATGACCGGTCATAATTTAATTAATGTTATTCTGCTGTCAAATATTGAACTTAATGGTGTCTCTTGTTCAAGTTTTGTAAGAAAAAGATGTGGGGTATTTAAGACTAAACTTCAGGTCAATGACTCCTGCTCCTACACTTACTTTAAAAAAAAAAAAAAAATAGAGAGACTTAAGTAAGGAAGTGTTAAAAGTACAACTCAAAATGTTATCACAAATCATCAAGAGGTTGGCCTCCTCCTCCTCCTCCTCCTCCTCCTCCTTTAAATGGACACCCCAGCCTCTAGTGTGAAGGCTGCTGTTTGCTTCAGGTCCTCCAGGCTCCTATACAGTTTGGGGGCTCTTTGTCTAGGCTTAGGGCTGGGCGAGTACTTCCCCTTAAATGCTTAATGCATTGAGCAGGCTTTGAGTATTTTTGTAAGACACCATGGTGAAATCAGGCGCTCGTCAATTTTTAGTCATGTGGGGTTATTGGTATCATTTAAAATCTTATTCATTTGCCGTACTTTCAATGAAAAAAATACCCATTTATCTTGAATAGAAGTCGAGACATTTGCTGTTGAAAGAGGTGGGGTCGCCTGGTTTCAGTGTTAAAATTAGCAAGTAGTCAAATTCACACGGAAATGTGTTTTATATGGACATAAAAGGTGTTGGGCCATAAAACATAAATTCAATAAAAATTGCCAAACTGCGTGGAAAAATGCGTTTCTTTTAATTTCACTATTTTGTCGAGTGCCTGATTTCACCACAATGCCTCACATATGATTTGCTGTATGAATTACTAGTTTTAACTTAAATGTAGGCATTGCTAAAGAATAGAACTGCAGTCAAAGGAATAGATTCTGGAGGATAATACTAAAAGAGAGCTCGACTCACAGTCTTGTGTTGGGTGAATTGAATATAAAATAAATTATTAGACATAATAGTATGGGTCCCATGTTAATGTGTTGTTAATAGTTATCATTACTTAAATGTTCTTGTTTTCAGAGAAATGCAGTACTGATTTATTCAAGAAAGTTAAAATAGTTTTGTTTCTATCCATTATTCTTTTGTCCTGGATGATGTTGGAAAATGAATTTCATTCATGTTATATTAGAATTATATGGGAGCACTTTTTTCCCTGTGATTTTTCTCAAGCTTTTGGTTGTGTTGTCAATCATATATTAATGCATGCATGCTTAGAAAATGTCTTGAATTGTGATGAATTGTTTGTAATTAAATTGTTTCACTACTTTCTAATAAGATATATATATATATATATGCATGTGGAATTGTGCTTCCTTGTATTGGTGTAATGCAATTGTTTGTGTTCAGACTTTTTAAACATTTGTAAGTCTTGTGTATTCTATTTACACTTCCTAATGCTCATTTCTTAAATTGTTCTCTAATTGTAATTAGACTTGTTGATGCATCTTTTTTTCCCCTTCAAATATGATAATGATGAACTATCTTATGTTTCAAACTGATTATGCTGTAGTGGAAGTTCTGTTTGTCACAAATTGTCCTGCACTCTACCTCTTCTCCTCCCCCCCCCCCCCTCCATTTTTTAGCTTTACTCATTTGCTTACATTTCTTTAGTACTTCTAAGGTCAGTTTCCAAACAGTTGTTTGCTGTATCAGTAGTGGTGTCTGTGGCCTTATGGTTCTGGTCTTTCCCTTTCTCCGACTTATGAACCTCGATGTAGAGAGTCTGGCCTGGATTCTGTGTACGGGGGGGCTCAGAGGAACATTGTTTGGTAAAGGCGTTCTCATCTCATGGTACAAAATATAATTCCCTTAGGTGGGAAGATATTTTATTCTTTATCTCGGGTCTTTTTTGCTGGGAAGTATTCTACACAGCCTGGGTTGACCCTGACAGGCAGGATCAAAGCAGAGCTGCAGCTATGTGAACAAACTTTGTTTTCATTAGGGTACAACACATTTGCAAAAATATTTTTAAAAAGAAGCTATGCACAGAATTGTATGTATTTAGATTATATCTTTCAAGTAATTAAAAGTTATATTATTCAAGATATTGTTCTACATACATTATTGAAATCCCTTGAAAGATGCTTATCCTTAACTATACAACAGCTTCTTTAGAGGCAGGGCGTGATACCTCTTTGAATGGAAACTTTCCTAGTAGCTAGAAATTGCTTGACAAGTTTTGTCGGGTTTTGACAAAGCTTTGGCTACATTTATGTATTTTGCTTTTGTTTGTCATTTGATTTTGTAAAGGTTT